CCACAGTTTAAATGTGCTGATAAAGGGGAAGCTCATTTACAGTGTGTATATAAGAATATCATTATTAGCTACACAGACCCCTGTTCACAGCTGCCTGGGAATTTTACCAGTGTGTAAAGTATCTCCATCCCATGTACGCTATGGTAGAGACTCTATGATTAAATTTCTGCCTTTCAGGCAAAGAATCACCAGTAACACCTGCTGCTGCATTGACTCATCCAAAACAGACTTACCAATGACTCCCAATAGTGAGTCATCAAACTCGATTCACTCCAGCAAGCAAAAAAAGCCCCCTGTATTTTAGCACCTTCTACTCACAGCTGATGAGAGATGACACCTAAAAGAATTTAGGCCCTGGTATGGTGTGCATTAACACCAGCAAAGCTGTCTGATTTACATTGAGAAACAGATGTCCCTCAAGTGATCTTGAGATTATCAGCACTTGGTATATTTGCCCTTGCTTCTACCCACAACCAGCCAGCACTGGATTTGGCTATAACTGTCCAACAGACTTAATTATGTGCTGGATATCTGCTTCAAGGTTTTAAAATGTCTGGATGCGCCATCAAGCACCAAAGAATTAAAAACCTTCGTAGCCAATGGCCAGCTCTTGTGTTGTTTTGTTGGGAAAGCCATGAGAAATGCATTGAGTAGCACGTTGTATTAAACTGCAAAGAAACCTAAATTTTAAAAAATCCCATTTCATTTACAAGGCCTCAATGTTTTACATCATTCTCTCAAATGCCTTCTGGTTCAGGCTCCTTTCACCACTTAGCCTGGCACATGCACACGTTAAAACCCTCTTTTGATATGAAGAGTCCAAGAAGAATATTGTGCTTAAGACTTCATGGACTGTATTTTTAATACATATTAGCAAGATGACGGATACCCTGAGTGGACCAGTCAGGGAAAGCAAACGAAGACAAGAAATATTCTCAGGGTGTTATTGATTATCTGTTTTTCAGAGCAGAGGGAATCATTTTTAACTGGTTTAAACTATGATGGACTCAAGTGGAAAACGCAAGCAGAGTTAGTGAGGAGCATAATTGACTGGGCATGGAACTAAGTAACCTCTCAGCACGCTGGAAGTGGTGGAGCAGAGGGGTTACAGCCAGGGCTGCTCTGAACCCACAGCCCTTTCTTCCCAAAGTGAACTCCGCCAGCAGCCAAAGACGACAATGACAACAAGTATAGGGAGGGGGAAAAAGAAGGGGGGGTGGAGGGGGGGGGAAGGGTCCAGCCACTCAGTTACATGATCTAAATTCTAATCAAACATCATTTAAAGCATGTTTTATTTCAGCCTCTGGAGAGATAGTCCCTCCTGACTCCTCACCATGGCAACCGGTGTCTCATTTCAGAAGTGTCATGCCACATTATCATCTTGCCGGCTCACACACTCCTGCCTGACAAGTTCTCTCTGCCCCTTGTGACAACCATTCCAGGCTTATGCTGTTTATTTTTGGTGTCAGGCTGGCCCTGGCAGATTGAAAGGCAACCTCAACCCCTCGAACAACAAGCACCACACCCCACTTGGTGATAAGAGATGATTTGAGAAGATATTTGCTTACATGTGTATAAGCAATTTGCTGTATGATGAAGCCCCGGCGTGCCTGCGTGAATGCACGCGTGTGTGTGTGTGTGCAAAGGGGAAGGAACTGCAGAAGCGTAACGTTTCATGAGAAAACAAACAATTCATTTCGGATCCCAGGCAGTAGGCTTCAATCATCAGATCCTGCCGTACACACAGAATATGAAGCATGGGCCAAAAAGGCACCAAGGGTACTCCCCACAAAGAGAAATGACAGCTAAGCTCGATCTGTCCCTGCAAAATACCCTCGCTGTGTCCCTGCAGAGTGCTGCAAGATGCAGCAGCAGAGGCACTCCATAGGAGTAACGGGGACAAAACACAACGACAGTTCACTGCAGGAACACGCTAGGGCCAGATTCATCTCTGCTGTCGTGGAGTCCATTTGGAACAGCGCTGGTGACAATGAATTACTTGGGATTGTCTGCAATTAGAATCACAGAACCTCGCGTTCAAGTAGCGGGCGGTGTGCATCATGGAGGACTTCCTTTTAACTGTTCCATTTTTACAGCCTGTACATAAGCAGAATTACGTCTACAGCTAGGGTTTCTTAGCGTAAGCACAATTAAAGCTGGTAGTAATTACAAAAGTATGTATTACATTTGTTTTTAACACTAAGCTTAAGAATACAGCAGCTTTTTTTTTATATATATATTTACTTGGCCGATTGAGATGGCAGTGGTAGAGCAGGGCTTCTCTCCAGCCAGAATCAGGGATAGCATCCCACCCTCCCACTCATCAGGCACAGAACAAGTTGTTCCTGGACCAACTGTTCCATTGCTACCTGTCAGGAGGAAAGCTCCAGAGAATCAGAGATGACGTCTAGGTAGCAATGGCATGAAGGAGAAATGAAAGAGTAGGTTGGAAGATCAACACAGATTTCGTATTTACCATCCAGCCCAGTTACTGTAGGCTGTGCCTACAGCTGTGCACTTGATTTCGTTTACAGGCACTGCTTTGGCCTTGGGTAACTTGACCCAACATCTTTTATGTTACCTTAGAGAAAGAATCATAAACTGAGCAAAATCCACCCCATTAACTCCAATGCAATCTCTGATCAAATCGAGAGCTAACTGGAAAGCAGATTTCATTAAAAACAAACAAAGCAAGATGTGCATTTAATTTTTAATCCATTTTCTAGCAACTGCACCATAGCAAGGCAGAGGCTTACAACAGCAGGGCAGTTGTGCACAAAATACGATAATCCCAAGGCACACTAATGGCATCCACAGAGTTGGTAAGAGGGGAGCAAGGATGTTTTAAAAACTATAAAATGGGGAGAATTACTGTTGATTATGGAGCAGCAAAGAAACTCACAGCTGTAAGTGATAAACACAGCAAATGCTACAGGGGGTCCTTCTGGAAAAGGATAAAAAGAGGAACATTTCGTCATGCAGAAAAATATCCCAGGACAAAAAGGATGGAGGTGACACCTGTGTGGCTGTTACCAACCATGGGCTTCATTCTGTCCCCAGCTGCACACATGCAACCCATCACCAGGTAGGAATTTCTCAGTTTCTACAGCAAATGCAGGTGTACACCCAAGGGCAGATTCTAACTTCCTCTCTCAAACGATACACAGCAAATGGAGATGGGCTCCCGTGGCAGCAAACCACTGCACGGCCACTTTGCTCTATAGGAAACACACCGTATGCATGGCAGTCAGCAGAACCTTTTTACATCTTCCTGGATGTACTGTGCAACCAGATGCAAACATATACACTTACATGCGTTGCTACTGCCACATAACCCAGCCTGGGATATCCCATTCCCAAGCACCTCAGTACCTCCACAGCTCTTCATGGGTGCAGAACCTCCAGGACTGCAGCAATGAAACAGTGGAACAGAACTCACATTGCCTGCGAGGTCCATCTATTCATCTCTGCCCACAAGACTCCCTCGCACCACTGCATGCTTTTTATACTTCATTAAAGCAAATCACTGATGTTCTTCAGTAGAAAAACATCCCCGGAAAGGATGCAAAGAGTGGCAAGAATTCAGCTTGGGAAGGAGATCTATTTTCATCTTACATTTACAGTTGCTTGTGCATATCTATATATCCATCTGTATCCCTATCTTCATAAAAACCTAACTGCAACAAAATAAATGATAATAATTCTGCCGTTTCTGTTTCCTCTCTTCCCCACCAGAAAGCTGGTAATAAAACAACAAGCTCTCTAAAACAGGCATTACCAACCCAGGCCATGCAAACAAACACTTCACCGTTTTATAATCTCACATGTTGAATGAACATCATCGTTCCCTTCGGTGCCTTAAAATATCAGGTCCATAAAATTACTAAAAGGCAGAGCAGCAATGCTGCCTAACACGCAGCCCACGGGAAGGCTGACAGTGCCCCATCATCTTCACTTCTTAGCAGCTCTGAATGCCCACGGCAGTGCTGGTTGGGTGAAACGCTCACAGAGCAGTGTGTGAACACAGCCAGGCTGTGGGAGCAGCACTCCATGAGGTGACCCCGAGCCCTGGGGATGCGGATGGGTGCAGCTGGCTCCCTGCCCTTCTGCAGGCAGAGGATGCCAACACTTATCCCAACTCAGCAGTGCAGAGGGCTAAAGGAGAAATACCACGGGACAGCATTAAAGTGTACTACTCCTTTACACAGCATGGTCAACCCACTGCTGTAGTCGGTTTTGAATAACGCTCTGCACTGTGTGATGGATGTTGACAAAACAAAATAACCCTATAATTAATTAAATAAATAAATAACCCAAACCCTGAACCGACGTCACCAATGAAAGATACAGAAAGGAAAACACGAGCCTGGCTGCTCTCTGTGGTCCAGATTTACGACAAACCTATACTTCTGCAGCCTAATAAGATCAAGTTGGTGGCAAAAGGGGGACGGGAGCGGAAAGCAAGCCTGCGCTTTGCGGACGGGAGGAAGGAGGCCGGTGAAAATGCTGGTATTTACTTAGTGTAAGCGCTGGGCTTGCGCAGCGCAGCCTGAAGCTCCGTGCGCACAACAGCGGAGTGCAGGTGCGCAATGTTCTGTGCGAGCAGCGGCGCGGCGGAGCGGCCCGAACCGAGCGCGCAGCGCTGCGAGCCGCGCGTTGCTCCCGGCCTCGGGCTGAGCTCCCGTGCGCGACGCCGTGCGGTGCTGCGCGAGAACCGCGCTTCCTCTCACACAAAGCATTTCTCACAGCGCTTTACCTCGGGATTGCCAGGATTCCTTTGCAAACGCGTTTACGTGGAGCCGTGACTTATTTACTTTTACAGGCGTTCGCGCATCTCTGCGGCGCGCAACACCTCCCCGTCGGGGAGCGCCCCAAAGGCGTCGGAGCAAAGCCGCCACGCTACGACCCCCCCAGCTCCCCTCCTCTCCGGGGCCGCCCCCCGCCGGGAGCAGAACGCCCCGCCCCGCCGCCCTCGGAGCGCCCAGCCGCGCCGCACCTACCGTCGGGATCCGCCGCGAACGGCCGTGCGGGCGTCGGTTTAACGAGGTGTGCAGCAGCCTCTAGCGGCGGAGGGCGGGCGCTGCGGGAGCCGCGGCGGGTCGGGGGGTTCCGTCGAGGCGAGCGGCGCTGAGGCGGCCCGGCTCCCCGCCACCGCTTCCCGCCGACGGCCGCGGCTCGCGCAGCGCCACGTGCGCGCGTGGGGTGCAGCCGTGCCCTCCGGGCTGCACGGCGCCTCGTGCGCGGAGCGCAACGCGCGGCTCAAGCAACGCACGAGGCGGAAGCTGAGCGCTTTGCCGCTGCGGCCGTCGGGGAGCAGCCCTGCAGCCGGCGTGCCCCGCTTCCGAGGGGACGCGTTCCGTCCGCTTTTCCTCGCTTCCTTCTGTTTGAGGTCCGGGCAGCCCTCAGGCAGCACGAGCTGTGCTGTGCTGGAGAACCTCCCTCCTCATCCCCTCTTTACACTGCGGACCCCCAGCTGAGTTCTGATGAAGGCCCCCCACGTAACCCCGTCGCGGCCATCACCTGATGGGACTTTGTGAGGGGTTTCGTCTGACACGGTGGGGTTTGTGCGTGCAAACGTGGATCCAGGCTGCCGCGTTCCTTTGCTGTAGAAGGGCAGGCGGCTTTCCTGAAACAAAGACACGAGGACGTGCAGGAAGCAGAGCCCGCAGATCCTTCTGTCAGCCCCCGTTACCTGCTGACTGCGAGCAACACGATGAGTGATTTAATGCTGTTTGGATATCAGATGAATGGCCGACCCACAGTGATGCTATTTCCCCCCCCAAAAAAAACAAACTCCGCTTTCAGATAAACAGTTTTCCTCCTGGTTAACCGTTGGCAAGTCTGATTCACCGTGTTTGACAACGGCCGTCTGATTTGCACTCACCTACTGCAGGGATGATTGGAGAGCTGTTAATTAGAGCTCCCTAGCACATGTTGCAGAAGCACAGCTGCTGGCCTTGGGTTGGACGCACCCTTCAGGTTCCCCAGCCAGGCCAGGTGCCCTCAGCTCCTGCAGGGTTCGTTCCCTTCCTTGTCCACTCTGTAACCCCTCCCCCAGTGCCCTCAGACCCCCAAAGACCCCCCACCTCCCCGCTCACAGCCAGGGCAATGGAAACCAATGCATCCTCACAGCAGCTATGTGTACCACCAGCTCAGAGCTCCACCAGCACTTCCATGTCCCACACTCATCACTTCCCCTCTATGTTATCTTGACTGTGTTACACCCAACCTTTGCTGCCACTGCACAAGTTGTATCTCTTGGCTCTCCCCTGGCTCATGATTTGCACAAACTCCTCACAAACCCTCCGTCAGTTTTCTTCTCCTGTTACTGGCCCAGCTTCCAATTTCTGAATCTTTGATGGTTTCCCTTAATAACATTCATAACTTCTCCTAACTATTTCTCTACTGCAGTCCCAGATTGTGATGCACACTGGCCACTCAGCCATACGAGGTACCTTCTGCACCACCAATTTTAATTCCTGGAAAGCCTTCCTCAGAGCTCTGGACGTGGCACTTGCAGGAACCTCTCCATTACTGGTCTTCAAAGAGGTTCTCATTTCCCGCAACAGTTTTTCCTGCTTTCTGCTGACTCAGATGAAAATCCTGAGAGAGGGCTGACATGGACCGCATGCTTTCAGGGTCTTTCAACGCTCTAATTTCTCCATCACCTCTGCTCAGTTTCCTTCAATATTTCTTCTTTATGCAAAAGGAAATTTATCTTTCATTCTGGCACCTGCCCTGCCATCTGCCTTTGTGAACACGAAGGAAAACTGTCACTGATTTTTTTTTTTAAACAATGTCCATCAATAAATAACCCTCAGCAGCTTTTAGAGTCTTCCCATCGCTGATCTATTATTCCTTTGGCCCATGCAACATTTCTTATTATTTATTAGAACCTTTTTCACAGTCTTCCCTCCATTTCCCACCACCGCTTGTCTTGTCAATTCTTTTACTCCTTGGTTCCTTCTGCATTTGCAGCTTCAGGACCCAGTGTTATCACATCCTTGTTCACACAGGCAGGGCTGCAGGAGCTCCCAGGCAGGCAACACACCACTTAAGAGGGAGAATTCAAAGGGTGGCAGATCTAAAAAAAAAAAAAAAAAATACAATGGAATTACAAGTATATGGCAATTACAAGCATATGACACATAAGAGGGAGGGCAGCAAAGACCTTGTGCTGATTGTGAGTATCGCTGACCGTTTCACACCACGCCTATGTATCACACTTTAATTCATGCCTTCCCTCTTTAAACCAACCCTTATATATTTCCCCTTCTTTCCCTTTTATTCTGATTTGAAAATCTGTTGCACTTTCCACTTCTTTTTCCCAACCAGAAAAAAAAATTCTCGATTCCCTTTCCTGAAACTCAGTTTATTTTTAGTGGCAGTGCTCACAAACTGCAGAAAGGGAGGGCGGTTGGTTGTTTTATTTTCAGTCTTTTCAGTGTTATTCTCACCCACAGTTCTATGTGGGTCATCTCTGGTTTTCAATAGTTGCATCCACCTTAACTCCTACAAGAGGAAGTGCAAAAAAGCCAGAGCCCTGCAGGTCAAAGTAGAATTGTTCTTTATATACAGGGAGCACATTTAACTGCCGTGCAGTTCCTGCCCATGTTTTGTGTCCCCATTATTAATCGGTTTCCCTACTCATCCCCACTGCTATACTCACCCCAGCTCCAGCCTGGGTGCTTCATGGGACAAGGGAACCAATAAAAAGGCATTTGTGAAAATGACCGTTTCAGGGGAGATAAAATATCATTATGTGAAATGGATTTGCTGGCACTCCTCACCAAATTTAGCACCTATTAAATTATAGAAACCATTATTCCTCTTACCCAGAAAAGTCTGAAACTTTCTCTAAAAGATGTATTTTATTATTTTAAGTGGGGCTTAAGTGTATTTTTTCCTTGTGATAAATTTCCACGTATGAATTTTCTTAGAGATACAACAGTCTTGTTCGACTGATTTTATTGCTCAAATAGGACAACAGCACTCCCCTCTCACAGTGCAGGAATATTTCCCTTCTGAAATGAGGTGTTTGGAATTTAGGTAGCTGGGTTTTCACATGGCAAGCCTTTAAGCAGCAAATATTGTCGATGCTTAACCATACAAAATGATGCAGAGCTGGATGTGGCTCTGGGCAGCTGGGCTGGTGGTTGGTGACCCTGCACATGGCAGGGGGATTGAAATTAGATGATCATTTTGGTCCTTTTCAACCCAGGCCATTCTATGATTCTATGATCTTTTTCAAGAAAGCACTTGGTTTTCTTTAGCACTTGCCCTGTTAATAAAAGAATCTGCATCCACAACCTCCTGGGGCAACCTGTTCCAATGCATGACAGTAGTGCAGTGCTTCCTAAACACAACATAAGTAAACCCTGTCCCTGTGCTCTACCATGACGTTTTCTAAGCTCTGACTTCTCACCAGCCTCGTATGCTGTACCAGCACGGAGGTCCATGCAGGATGGGCTGGATGGAGTTGTAGGAAAGGGCATTTTTTCTCCTTTCATCGGGTGTGTGTTTTGGGAGCACGGGGGGCTGAAGGAACAGAAGTGTTGTCTGAGTCTCTAATCAAACTTCTCCCGGCCGGGTGCGAGAGGCCAAACTAATTAAACAGAACATCAACCCACTGAGGGAGTCAGGCGTCGGGAGAACATTGCCTGGGGAAAGCAGAGTGGGTTGGAAAACAGGTGCCTCACAAAGGATGGAAGTGTGACCTTGCAGGACAGAACTGAAATGCGCTCATGGGAACATTCTGTGGAGATGCCTACAGAGGTTCGGAGCAGATGTTGTTATAATCTTACATGCAGGAGGCAAATGAGGAGCAGAAAGATGAGAAAGACCGGTCCCATCTGATCACCGGGCATAGCAAGACTGGAAGAGAGCGGATGCACCTCTGCAAACAGTTTTTTTTTTCCCTCTTCCTTTTTAACATTAAGAAACTTCGAAACACCTGCAGTGGGAAACAAAAGGTTAATTAAAAAGAACCCCAGTCTTTGCACTAAACTGATTGCTGGGACTCCTGCCAGCCTGGGAAGGTTAAAGAGCTCAAGCATGCGTGGGCTGTGGGGGGAATGGCTAAAATTTACAGCTAGCTCCCTGGAAAGTCACAGTTCAGCTGTTCTCCCGGAGCAGGTGCTCATGGGAGCGGGCCTGTCCCTTTCAAAGCGTGAAGATTGATGAAGCCTTCGCTCTCACCAACTGTAAATATACAACCAGCCTTGTCAGAGCAGGTTTGTAACATCACTTGCTGACAGCAAGAAATTTTTTTTAACCTCCTAAACACACACACACACACATTTACCCCACACAGACACACACACACACACAAAGTGCTAAAAAATAAAAATAGGCTTTTCCCAGGAAACACAGAAAGGCGATAAATAAAATGATGGGAAAGGCATTTATGTTTTCCCTGCCCGGAGAGGCAATAGACAGAGGACACGCACGGGGTGATTTCATCCTGTCCTGGAAAACAAGCAACATCTTCCTTGGGCTGTGCAGTTTATGGCCAAGTCCTGCACAGGGCTCAGGCACTTCACAACAGAGCCAACAGCGCAGCCTGGTGGGCTTAAATCACTGCAGCACTGTGCTGCCAGCCGCCCTCCGCGGAGATGGAGAACAAGCAATTGTAAGAGAAGATACTGCTAAAATAACCATTTTACACTGCCCTGGTGCCTACTTCCTGAGGACTTCATAACGTGTTACAGATGGAAATTACTTATTCTTTGCAGCCACACAGAAGGATCTTTAGAAAGCTGGACACAGACGTGTTTAGATTGGGATTTTCAAAGTTTTTTTGGAGCATCCCTCTGAGCCACACAGACTATGAATGGGCTTCGGTGACTGAACTCCTTGGATGATTGGAAGCAGAATTAATATTCGTCTATGGTTTTATTGTCCTGCCCCAGAATTCATTTTTAGCATTGCAGTCGTCTGAACTAAAATAATTGCGCAGCGCCCTTTTCTCTTTTCTTTCCCAAGGAAATTCCTTCTGTGTTATCATTTTCTCTACAGCAAAATTTCAGGCTAATAGAAAATGTTGAGCAGATTTCTTTTGTTTGGCGTTTGCCTTAGCAGAATGGAGGGATTAAACTGGTTGCTTTAGGAAACATCAGCCCAGTTTGTCTGCCAACAAATTCTACCTCGGAAATTCATCAGCTTTTGTTTGGTGAGGTTTTCTGCCCGTTTGGTGGGGCACTGGCTTTTGGGTTTGCTCCACTGCTTCTGTTCTGCTACTTTCTTCTGCTTTTATTAATAGAATAGCACACGACTCCCTGCTCCTCAGACTCATGATTTATCCCACTGTGCTTTCAGGCAAAAGCAGGCCTCCAATGCTTTTCTCACATTTTCAAAAAGCCCTCTTGTTATCTCTTTCTACGAGACAAAGAAGTTTCTACATCTCCAACGTGAAGCTCCAACAGGCCTTGCTTGCACACAGACCTGCCCACCACGCATTTCATCTGCATTTCTTTCGACGTACTTCAAGAATGAACACACCTACAAAAAAAATCACTGTTTGCAAACTGCCACATTCTTCCTTTGCTTGTGTTACATCCGTCTCTCAAATTCTCTGCCTGACGTGGCTGTTTGAATTGCTAACGCTCTGTGATGAGGACTGCTGCTGTCATTTCGGCTGTGTTTACCCAGTGCCCCTCACAGCAGGGCTCCCCTCCCCACCACGGTCCCTCACACTACAGCATATGCTAATAAATAACAGGAGAACAAGATACTTCCCTCTTCGTGGCAGCAGAATTGTAACAATCCTGATGAATACGCCAAGGACTGGGAATGTTTCCAGAAGCTGTAAGGAAAGAAGCAGTAATTTATTGCGGGTGCTAAAAATACATCATATACCTGTGAATACAGGTGACCATCACTTGCTCAGGCAACCGGTGCTGTCCTTGGAGAGGAAGGACCACGAAGGTCTCTTTCTAACACAGAGCAGCAAACAGCAAAGTCCTCCCCAAGTTTTGGGGGGCAGGAACTGACACATGCTTGCATTTTATTCCACAGCAGAGATGAAAAGCAAAGGTGGCCTGAATTACAATTAAATATTCTAATAATTAAATAATATCCTATTTGGATCTCTGGATGGATCCAAAATGATTTAAGTAATTTTTTCCTATCGGGTTCATTATTACCCTCACACTTCATACAGCACTGCTACATTCCTCCTGTTTAATTTTGCTTATCCCTTCAGCAAAGTCCCCCCCCTCTGGTACATCCCTGGTTATGTGCCTGGTCCTGCCCCATCTCTGTCTCCCCTGCACCCACTGGCACTCCCTGCCACTCCACAGCCATTGAAGCAGAAGGGCTGGGGCTCTCCCCCAGGGCAGCCAGGTGCTGGGGGGGCACAGACCCCTTTGCACATGTGTATAAATGGAATCAGCTGCCCTGCTGTCAGAGCTCCCCAAGTTTCCAGGGCGCCTGATCAAGCCGCATTCCCTGGGTTATTCACAGATACTTTCTCAGGAGCCTAAATGGATCAAGGTTTTTTTAAGGCTAATAGGGCAGCTCCAGTTTCCGTCAGCTGAGGACGAGGCCAAACAACTTGCTTTCGTTAGCTCATTTATTTTTGCCAAGAGGGCAGGCAAGGCATCCCCTCCCATCCTATCCCCCATGCAACTCCCAATTCAGACTTTGTATGGCAAAGAGGAGGAACCCAAAGCAGCAAGCATGCCTGCTCAGCTCCAGTTCTCCCAGCCCTCCCACCCCACCCAGGGAAACATGCAGCATTACAAACTCTGGCAGCTGGGAGCATCTGATTATTTGTATGGAAATTCGCTCCAAGTTGAGAAGTGGATCAATGACTATTTCTCAAGCTGGCTCCATTTTGAGAACCAAAATTGACTTCTGGAGAAGCTGCTTGATTTCCCAGCTCTCCCCCACCAGAAAACAGATTATTGCATAGGGCAGGGGTGATATAATTCAACTCCAAATAGGTTTGGGGCCTATTAGACCCGAATATAAAACTCACCGAGGTTCCAAGGAAAAGAGAATTGCTCCGTGCTTTACTCTTCCTTGCCAGGCCCTTACTCCTATCTCTGTTTGGTGTAAATCCATTTGCTTATATTCAGCGCTCCACACAGATGGAAATGGCAGCTCAGGACATAACACAGGAGAGACTCATTTCGAGCAATTTAGTTCTCCTCCTTTCCCAGCTCCCCAGTTTGCCCTATTTCCATTACCCAACCGCGCCACCTCTGCTTTCTATATAGCATCGCTGTCTGCCCACATCTCCCCTTGTTTTGCTTTTTTTTTTTTTTTTTTTTTTTTTTTTTT